TTTTGGCAGCTCTGTATCAGTTTAAGCAACAGAAACTCCCAGCTTGTAAGCCAGTCTTAACACCAACATCGGTTAGTAACAATGTTCTGATTGTTGATACCAATTCATGAGCTTTGATAGTTGAAATTGACACTCAAAGGTCATGTCTTGCAGGTCATAACAGTGTTTTTATTAATGGGTTTTGTTTTTATTCCCATTGGCCTCATCACTCTCCGTGCTTCTCGTGATGTAAGTCTCCATAGTCGAAAACCTTATATCTTGTAGTTGAGCTGTAAGTTCTGGAGTAAACTTTTTAAAATCCTTCAATGGCAGGCTATCGAAATTATAGACCGGTATGATGCTGACTGCATTCCTGAAGAATATAAAGCCAACAAACTGTCATACATAACAAATTCATCGATCCCAAAGAATTGTACACGTTACTTAAAGGTAATGATGCTATTCTGCTTCTGCTGATTCTCAATCAAAGGAAATCTTTTTTCGTAATATTTAGAGTGTCTTCACTGTTACATATTGGTGGTTTTTAGACTTTCAATATCTTTGATTTGTATGCAATATTGTAGGTACAAAAGTTTATGAAAGCTCCCATTTATATCTATTACCAGCTTGATAACTACTACCAAAACCACCGGCGGTAAATAACAAGATCCCTTTTGTTATTTACTTTTCAAATGTTATTATGAGGAAATCAATCATTTGGAAGCTGATTATTTTTTCCAGATATGTAAAGAGTAGAAGTGATCAGCAACTGTTATATGGACTGGAGTATAGCCACACAAGTGCCTGTGAACCTGAGGAGTCATCTAATGGTCTCCCGATTGTTCCTTGTGGGCTAATAGCTTGGAGCATGTTCAATGATACATTTATGTTTGCTCGTGAAAGTATGAAATTGAAGGTGAGCCGGAATAACATTTCATGGAAGAGTGACCGTGAGCACAAGTTTGGAAAGAATGTGTATCCTTTCAATTTCCAGAATGGAACTTTGATTGGTGGAGCAAAGTTGGATCCAAGAATTCCAGTAGGCATTCTTAACTACTTCACTTCTATTGCATAAAAATTGTAATCATCTTGAGCTCAAGCAATTCTGTTTATATCGCAGCTAAGTGAACAGGAGGACTTTATTGTGTGGATGCGAGCAGCTGCTCTACTAAGCTTCCGGAAACTATACGGACGAGTCGAAGAAGACTTGGAACCAGGCAATGTTGTTGTAGTAAATTTGATGAACAATTACAACACTTATAGCTTTAGTGGGCAGAAAAAGCTTATTCTCTCCACATCAAGTTGGTTAGGAGGAAGAAACGATTTCCTCGGGATCACCTATATTGTCGTCGGTTCTTCTTCCATAATCATATCAATTATCTTCATGTTGCTTCATTTGAAAAATCCAAGGTAAAACGATACATTTGCAGACAACTTTTTTTTCACCTTCAATCGCTCATATGCATCATTTTTAATCTCAGGCCTTATGGGGACAATTCTTGGAATAAGAAAAGCCTTTCGAATTGAGAAGCTGTTACATTCTTTCTCTCACAGATTCTGATTCCAGGTTCATAAGTAAGCAAGAGCTGTATAAGTCATATAGATATAGAGAGTATATAACCAATATATGAGCCTATAGTTCTAGAAAACTGATTAGGTTCCTCCATTTTCTCTATTACCCTTGTGTGTTCGGTTTTCGGGTTCTAAAGATTATCCGAAAAGATCATTGTTTGACCCTTTTTCAACTTTTAAATCTCTAACGTGATGGGTTATTTGGGTATTATCTGTTTTTAGAACCTCTAACTTTAGTAAATCTAACAAAAGCATTCTAGAGAATGCATCACTGGTGATCTCGAAACCGCACAATTTTTTCTTCCATATCTCGAAAAATCGTCATGTATTCTTCTCATTTTCCATATTTGTCACCTTAAGTCTTTTATTTAACCTCTACCAATTGACCTCTCCATTTCTCATATGCACCTCTAAGTTCTCCAGCTCAAAGATCTTTTCATTCATTTAGTCAAAAATCATCTTTCAGTCTTCCTCTGCCCTCCTCACCCGTAAAGAAAAAAACCCGTTATTTTCTTTCTCAAACTAAACCCGCGTTTTCCTTCTTCTGCATCGGATTGTTGTCGGGAAAAGAAATCCGGGTGAAAGAAAGAAAATAATATGGCCAAGGAAATGAGGTTTGTTCAAACATGGGGAGAGGTAGCACCCAGGCTTATTGTATCACACCAGAAACAACAACAGCAATTCTCGAGCTCACCGAAGCTTGAGACGATTCATGAAGAAGGATGCTGCGTTGTCGATAGTTTTGCTGTTAGGGCGCCGAAGCGGATTGTGATCTTTCTTCCTCTTGTCTGAATGATTTTGTACATGGTGTTGCACGAAAGTATCAAAGATTATTGATTTAACCTTTGTCTTTTGGTTTTTTTTTTTGGTTATGACTTCTGAGACTTTTTAATGTGTGATGGTGAAAAGAAGAGAATGTTATGGAGGATAAAAGAGAGAGATTGGAAATGTTGTTAATGGTTGAACGTTGATGACAAAATCTCTATATGAGTTTAGGTCGGTAGAAAGTTGAAAATTGAATTTTTTATTTTTTTGTTTCCATTTTCCAGGATTTGTAATCTGATTTCTGATTCTTTTAACTGAATAAGCCCTGATGAGTTCTCCAGAAACATATGTTAAATCGTTTTTTTTTTGTCATCTGGTTGTACTATGAAAACCCAAGAAAATTATATAATAGGTTTTAGTCGTTTTTTAATTTTGAATATAAAAAAAAAAGACAGTTGGAATATAACCAATCAACTTTTTTTTTTTTTTTGTCATCCGAAATTTTCGATTCATTCATTGTGTTACAAAACCTTGTCTAATATAGAGACGGTAAAGAACAAATTCTTTCCGCGGACTAAGCTAACATGTATAAAGAGTTTCGCTAGAGCCAAAAGTCCATATACCAAGCAAACTACACAATTAAAACCACAGTTAAAAGACCATGAAAGACATAGGCCAAGCTATTGCCGTAATGGCAATCTGAACCAAATGAGTCAAACCCCATCCCACTGGACTTCCAGGTATTCTGAAAAAATGATGAGCGAAACCAAATGAGCCAAACAACCAATCAA